CTGTTGGTCTGGCGCCAGCTCCCTCTCCGTGGGGGGTTGGTGTGTTGCTTGGGCCCCTACTGCTGGCGGCTCCCCCGGTAGTTCTGGCGCTGCTGCTTCCTCTGCTGGTGCCTCCGCTTCCTGGGCGGCGGGCCCCGCTGCCGTGTCTGCCGAGGGCTGTGCCGACTCCGGGTGGTTTTGCGTGCCCCGCAGCTGCAACGTCGGGGTTGCGTCATCTGTTTGCTGCTGTTGTGCCCCCGGCTGGGCTCTGTATGTCTGTGCCCACGGGTCGTCGGGTGGGTTCGGCGGAGCGCCTCGCGGAGTGTCCTCCTTGCCTGTGGGCTTGACGGTGGCTGGTAGCCCCGGCCACAGGACCGCCACTAGGAGGGTGACTCGGATCATGCGCATGCTTTGTTCTAGGCTCTGGCTGCGACCTGTCTCACATGTCGTGTTACCTGCACGGAGTGCTGAGGCTGCGGCGCGGCATTCGGACAAAGTCTGGTGTTGCAAACGGCAAGGCTGACTGGTCCCCTCATGCTGCAAGAAAGGTGCTGCACAGGAACATGTCACACTAGGCTGTCAACTGGAAAGCTTCACTCGCGGTTGTGTGCCGTCTGTTCCCTTCTGCTGTGTTGGGTGTGAGATTGCCCAGACTGCTTTGTCTCCCTGTCGCCCACTGCACATCAAACCTGGCAACAAACTCCCCCCGCATGTTGTTCCACACTTGTGGGTTTGCTGCTGCTTGCTTCCATTGGTTTCCTCCCACCGCCACTAACTGTCGTTCTGGGTCCGCCATGGCGTTGTACTTGACGTGGGTGTGTCGCTCCCTCTGTGGCTTCTGCTTCTCAATCTCCCACCAGGCTAGGTCCTTCCACACAAGCATCGGCCTTCCTCCCGGAGACGCCTTGGCCATGTGGCCGTACAAGTCCCAAGTGTGCCCCAGCTGGAAAGTGCTCCATCGCAGCACCTTGGACTGAAACAAGGCCACCCTCGCCCCCCTCAGCGTGCGCGTGTTCCATTGCTCCCATGTCTCCCCTGGTCTGCGTGCTGGCTGCATCATGCGGCGAATGTGGTTGAGCTGCGTGCTGTTGGCTGCCTTAAGAATGCTGTCTGTGATGGGCCAGGCTTGTCCCCCCCACAACGCCGCCCCCCTGACCAGTGTTTGGTGCAGCTTGATCCTGCCTTTGAGCGGGGTGGGGGCACAGAGTAGCTTGGCATGTTTGTGAAATGCTTTCCTGGCTCTGTGGTGCATTTCTGCTACTATTGCTGCAACCCCCTCGCCGAAAGTGATGGGGGACCCTAAGGCGGTGATGACTTCCCCAAAAGGCTTGCAGGGGACTCTCTCCCCACCCACCACAAAATCCCCCCCTTCTGGTCTGCTGTGTATGATGGCCGTCTTGGTGGGGTTGATCACAAGGCCATGGCGGGCCAGGCGTCTCTCCAACGCTGCCAGTAAGGCTTGAAGGTGGGCCGGGTCGTGGGACCACAAATATGTGTCATCCATAAACGCCCCCCCTGATTCCGGAGGGGGAGGACCCTTGCACGGCGGCAGCAAGTGGGCTGTTTCCCGGAGCGCCCCCTCGAGGCAGTCCGCCACAATTCGGCTAAACAAGATGGGGCTGTCCGGCGAGCCCTGTCGGACTCCGTTTGTCTGGGGTATGCTGGTGACTGAGTCGCCGACAGCTATGCGCATCTCGCGCGCTTCAAGGAGCCCCAACCACGCGCGCGCCTCCCACGGCATGCCCCCCCTGGTGCCTCCCCCCCCTGGCCTGAGCCCCGCAACGCGCGCCGCCACCATGTCCCCCATGCTCTCCTGCCAGACACTGTCGAATGCCTTCCTGATGTCCAACTTGACAAGCCAGGTAGGGATTCCCCACTCCTTTGCATGTCGCACCACCCTTCTGAGCACCACCAAGAGTTCAGGTGCTTGTTTGCCTGTCCCCGCCCACTGGCAGGGGGAGTCTCGCTCAATGCTCCTTCCCCCCCGCAGTAAGAGCAACTGCGCAAACCACTTCAGGACCGCTGAGCTCAACGTGATCGGCCGGGTATCCCCCCATGTCGGTGGGTCCCCCTGCGTTTTGGGAAGCAGGATCGTAGGCCCCTGTTGCACGGCCGCTGGGAGCTCCCCCCTATAGAGAAAATCATTGAGCATGTGAAGAATTCGCGTGCTCCACTGTTCCTCCCTCAGCAGCAGGCGCAGGATTTCATGGGTGACCCCATCAGGACCTGTCGCCTTGTTGTTCTGCCAAGTACGTGTTGCCAGCTGCAGGTCATCGAGCGTGAAAGGGTGCCACGGGGTGTGTTTGCATAGGACCCCCAGGGCTTGACGAGTCCCTGCTAGGCGCTGGGTGCTGGCAGTGGCTGGGGCCTTTGCGAAGATGCTTTCAAAGTGCTTCGTGAGCTGCTGTTGCCACCTGGGGTGGTCTGTGAGCTTGTGTTCCCATCCCACCCTGCTTTTGAGCTGGTTCAGGGTGCGGTATGCCCCCCAGTGCGTGGTGCTCGCCGCCGCCACCAACCCCCCGAACCACAGCCTATGCTCCTGCTTGCGCTGTCGCGCCACTTGCTTCCACAGGTGTCGGGCTTCCGGCCCTTTGGTGTTGTGGGCTTGCTTTGGGGGTGCTTTGAGGGAGGGGCTTTCACGGAAGCGCTCGCTGGGCCTCCCCCTCTCCGTGACTTTCAGGGAGAGGTCACTGATTGCTGCGTGTATGTCGGCTTGGGGCGGGGGCTGGCGGATCGCCTCCATGACCTGTGCTCCGCTGCGGAACCGCCTCGTCCCCCACGGTGGTTTGCGTGCTTGCTTTGGGGGGGCTTCGCCCGTCGCACCCCACACCAGGTCGTGGTCAGACCGCGCCATGTGCCTGCTGTTTTGCATGACTCCCCCTTGGCCGATATGTCCTCCCCGGTGAACAATGTAGTCCAGTCTGCGTGTGCGCTGTGCTGTGTTGTAGGGGTGGTAGGTTGGAAGGTGGAGCTCCTGGGGTGGGTGTTGCATGCCATGGCGGGCGCATGCCTCAAGGATCGCCTCCCCTCTGCCCCCTTGCGCCCTCCATCCTTCGCCGTCTGGGTCTGTGAACGTCTCGTTGGCATCGAAGCCGACTATGACTTTTGCTTTGCTGAGGGTGGGCCCCCATGACCCCAGGATCTGCTCCGTTTGCGCGATAGTGGCGTGGTGGGGGATGTGCCCGGACAAGTATCGGGTGCCCTTGGCCCCCTTGGTGTTAGCGATGGTCGTTGCTATTCCCGCCTTGAGCAGCTTTGTGTTGATGTGTCTGCGCCCCCCACTCCGGTATGCTATAGCTGTGCCTCTCCAGTCTCCTGTATTCTTGCCGTAGACGATTACCCACCCATGGTCTTCATGAAAGGCAACCCCCGGCTCCGCAATGATTTCTTGCAGCAACAGGACATGCAAGTTCTGAAAGTCTGGGTTCCCCGCGAAGTCCCGGACGAGGTCCAGCGCTTGTTGCGCCGAGAGCCCGCCCACGTTCCAGGTCCCCACTCTGCAGTCCATTGGGGGCTTCTCCCCCTCTGTGCGGTGAAACTGTCCAATGCTCTGCTCCCATCACTGGAGCTCCGCTTTGCGGGGCCCCCAGGCGTCCTCGACTTCTCGCAGAGGCTTTTTCATTGCTTTGGCTAGGAGCTTGATGTCTGCCCAGCCTGCCCCCGCTGCTTCAGCCCCCGACGGCTGCTCTGCCGATGCACTGGCTACTTTTTGACGTTTGTACCAAACCGTGCCTGTCGCAAACTCGACCTCCAGATCGGCCAAGGCACCCCCCAGCTCAAGGATGGTGCGCTTCACTTTGCCAGCCAGCTTCGCTCGTCTGCGTCTTTCGGGGCTTTGGCTGATGGCGATCCACAGCTTTCGCATTCCCCCTTGCTCATTTTTCCCCAAGGTCATGTTCGCGTTCCTGACTCGCTGTATGGCCCCTTGAATGCGTAGTCTGCGGGCGTCCTCGTCTTCGAAGGGCTTGGGCACGATGGGCAAGATAGCGTATCCTCGCCTGAGGCCCGGCACGAAGAGGTCATCCCCATTCAGCGGGACGTCAAGGGAGCGCAGCACCTCCCGCGCTGCTTTGAGTGTGTCTTCGGCTGCCGTGTCGGGGTGCCAGCCCCCGATGATGAGTGCCGGCTTTCTCCCCCCATCTGTGTCTGTGGTGCTCCCCGGCGCTGTGGAGGAAGGCGGCTTTAACTCCAGCGTCGTCATTCTATCTTCCAGTTGCTTCTGTGCCGCCTTGACTTCGTCCAAAGATCGCGCTTGTATGTCATAACTCTTCGTGACCCTGTCTAGCGCGTGGACCGTGTCCCTCACTTGCTGTGCCACAATCGCTTCCACCGCCTGCACTTTGCCCTGCATAACTGTAACATCCCCTTGCACCCCTGCTAGACTTGCAGCGAGATGCTCCCTGTCTCGTTCTCGTTCCTCCGCCAGCACCGACCTCAGCATGGAGAGTGTCAAGGCTGGCTCCTCCACGCGGCCTTTCTTGGTTGGTGAAGCCCCCGGCCCCTCTTCGCGGGCCTGCTTGTCCCCTTCCATTGCTTGCGGCTGTTGCCCAGCTTCACTTCCCCCACCAGCCAGCATAGTTGCCCTTCTCAGTGAGCTGCAGGTAGTGTCACGTTGCACAACGTCCTTATACTGCACGACCCCTCGATCTTGCGGAGAATCCCCCCTATGTCAAATGCCGTGTGTAGGTTCGCCGAGCACGGCGAGGTAGCGGGCGGCACAGTCCCTCACTCGCCTCGACGAGAGATCACGAGGGGGACCGTTCTTGACGATGTCGCCCCGGCGGACCCTCACAGTGAAGTGCGCACGGATCACCCCCTGCAGGTACAGCAATCGCGGCGGAGGCCCCCGAGAGGTGCAGCTAAGTCAGGCGCCCGGGTTGGAGGAGTTGCCGAGGCCTAAGAGGAGAGAAGAAAGGACGGAGAGAGGAACAAGAAAGCGGGGCGGGACGGCCTCGGCTCTCCTTGAACCACTCGCGGCTTGAGCCAAAATGGCTACGCTCTCTCTCTCTCGCTCCTCACATCTATAGAGACAAAGCATAGCTTTCGTGCTCCGATCTTTCACGGCTGTGACCTTCAGGGTTCACTGCATTGTTCACGAAATCCACACAGTGCTTCTCGAAGTCTGCGATGAACCTGCGCACATATGCGAACAGCACATCAGCAGCCCGCACAGCAGGCATGCAGCCACGCAAAGCAACCCGGTATGGTAGGAATTGTGTACTCTGCCTTTGGCACAGCATCTGAGGTGGACACACTGGCTTCGGACCAACACCTTTTTCGTGACAGACGTAGCCTTGCACACACAGAGGGACGCCAACTGTAACATCATGAAGAAATTTCCAGGCCAAGAGACCCCAGAAGCGTTGATCCATTAGCAATGGTCCTGTGACGCAGCATGGCTTTCCTGACGGGAATTGCACCAGAGTGCTGTGGTTGAGCCGACCCAAGACGGAAAGCAGTGCAATCACTCTATCTCACTCTATTCCTTTTGAGCAAGCGTCTGGTTCGCAAAGCCTCCACGGTTGTCCCAAGCCCACCATGAACTACAAAGCAATCCATCTCGGGAAAGAGAAGGCCAAAGTCCACCTGGCTCCGAGCAAGCCAGAGCCTTTGGCTGTCTCGAAGGATGAACCATTTTCTACCAAGGAACAGCTCGTGCTTCAAAGAAGCGACCGGTCTCTTTGAACTGGCGAGCTGCGTTTTCCAGGTCTTCAGGCCTGTCAGGAATTGCACAAGACCTGGACTGGGTCTCGTCTGCTGTCTTCCTCGTGCTGGCCAGGCTGCCCCTCATCGATGCGCCCGACGTAGATCACGGAGACAGGGAAGTTGGCTTCCTGGGCAAGGTGACTTTTGACGAGTGGCTGTCTCCTCTGTCGCCATGCGGGTTCAACATTTTAGAGCTTGGTTCAGAGGCAATGTTGGCCCCAATGCCTTGAATGTGGATGCAGATAGGGCACATTCAGCATCTTGACAATAATTCCTGGAAGCCATGGAACTGGACTGCCACATGCTCGACAAGCCTACGTATGGTGCACTGACATGGCTCTTCCTCTCCACATGCCAAAATGAGTGCCGCGCGAAGCAATGTACGGCGGGGAACAGGCATACTGCTGAAGGTGATGAGGCAAAGCTTCTTCCCTTCTTGCCTGGCGCATTCCGACTTCCAACCTACCTCGCGTACAGAGATACATAGTAATACGGCATCCTGGGATGCACTCCTCAAGCGCCAGCGGACAGCAGCAAACACAGCAGATTCAAGCACGCTGCCTTGCGGTTTCGACGAAGTCGCCAACTTCTCCCAACGATTTCCTGCATCTTGCACAAACAAATACTACAGTAAATCTTCCGACATGTCGTGGAAATTTGTGCTTTTTATGCAAAAGCACCCATGAGCACTGAGGCGAGCACCTGCCCGTACCAGCCTGGCAGGGCCACAGATTTACTGCTGTTAGCATCTTCCCACCACGCCCTTTTCAAAGTGCAAAGAAGAAACAAAAGCTGGCTTCAACTTGATGATTCCAGACCGAGCCTGGTTTCGCAGAAAAATGAAATCTGTCTGGATAATGTTGTCAGGCCAGTCCTGGCTCCGGGTTATAAGATTGCGGAGGCTCTCGCTGTGCACGAGTTACGAGTCTCTCAAAGCATCGTCGGAAAGCTCGTCGACATAACGTACCACTTAGAGCACAGCTTACATGCCGTATCATGTCCGTAGTCCTGAGGCCGCTGGAACGTGCCCGCCGGCATTGGGATGATGATCGGAACCCTTGCCTGGTTGTAAGCCTCCGGGACTCCAGGGCCAGGCCCGGAGTTGAGGATCAAACGCCGCGATTCTCTGCTTGCAAAAGGCTGCACCTGCCATGTGTCTGTCGGACCAAGACCGAAGAGCCTGCGGAGATGATTCAAATTCCTCAGTCGATGGGGCTATGAGGCTCTCGTTGAGATATCACAAGGACAACTCATGAGCCGAAGCACCAAGATGCAAAAGGGTTCTTTTCCGCAAGGTCCTCAGGACAATCCAATCAGTTGTAGTGGTCAGTGCCGTCTCCGCCCCCCTGTTGAAGCAGCTGTCCTTCAATAGTTTTAAAGAGTTGTGGGACGTAAACGCCATCTCGTCGACAGTGTCCTTACCGAGCTCCACATCTAAATCAGCTGTTTTCCAAACTGGCTCAGTGGTAGCTAGCACGGGCCATGTCGGGAACATGTCTCAAGAGTGCCAAACCATAACGCAGTCTGGGTTGTCATGGGAAGTGCGCTAGGGCCCCGACGAGAAGACTTTTACCTTCCGGGCTATGGATGGGCTGCACTGCCTTCCAATCCTGCACAGCTCTGGTCTCTTTCCGAACATGATGCAGCTTGACTTGCCTCCTCCTTGCTCGGTATGCAGCTTGGCTGTAAAATAAAGCCTCAGTTCGCTGAAGTTCGCTTCATTGTGTTCGAGGGCCTGATTTTCATGTCTTCACTTGAGGTAAGGGCCTACCACTGGCTTGCGGCAGTGCTCGCCGACCAGTGCTGCGACTCCCGCCAATGTGAAGCCTGAGACCGATAACGCAACACCGGCACATGAGCAGCTTTGCTGCCTCGACAATACGTCCTGCAGTCGCCAACGGAACGTGGACAAGCAGTCTGACGATCAATTGAGCTTTCTCCTCTGTCCTTTCTGTCTGTGCATGGTGGTTGTGCCGGCAGAGACTGCCCGATGCTCATCAATAGTGGCTCACGCCAAGCTGCCGAACATGATTAGATCCACGGGGTTGGGCTCAGCCTCCATAGCCCTGACATAATCGACGAAGACCGTAGCACTGGAGAAGAACTCCTTTCATACAAGGCAAGCGGAACCGAGGCCTTGAACAAAAGCGAGCAGCCCGTGTGCGAGACAGTTCATGCGACAGTTGGATGGGTCTAGAGAATAAGTGTAGAGACAAGCGTCGGCTTCTGATCTTGCCAGAGCGATCCTGAAGCTCTTGATTTAATGCACGGGAGACACAGCAGCCAGTGTCACAGAGTTCGGCTGCAACTCCATTAGATTGTGCCGTTAAGCAGCATCTGCAAGAATTCAGCACGATGTGTGAGCAAGAAATGTGCGCCCACACTGTCCATTCTTGCCTGGTGCAGCTGCCATAGGCTCTCAGCTTTCTGTGTTGACAACCCAGGCTCAAATCAGCTTTCTCAAGTGGTTAACAGCCCGCTCTCAGTCCAGCCTCAGTGTTCCCACCGCTAGGCCGAAATCTGATCTTGCTGCTATGGACGTCCTCAAGTGACAGCATTTTGGCACCATGGGCTTGGTGCCGATTCTTCCCAAATTTAAGCCGCGAGGCCGAGTGCTTTCTTACGAAGGCTGCATGGCTCTGTTCCGTGCAGATTGTGACCTTGAAGGCTGGACAAGCGCAGCTGATGCTCTCTCCTATGGAGGAGTGGCTCATGAGACCTGAAACTCGGCGGCGTCCAAGCCACCAGCCAGCCCAGCTGCTCGGCCAGTCCCCGTGCCAGTGCCACAAAGGGCTGCACGTCACCGCGCGTGCCACACGTCATCATAAACACCTCATAGATGCTACACTGCTACACAAACCCTTCATTGATGCTCCTGCTGACTCTTTGCAGGCAACAAAGATAGGCTTCCTTAGTAATGCACATCTGCCTTCGCTCCAGACGAAAACTATTCAAAGCAGTTGCCAACAAACCGGTCGGTGTGCTTCTAGTGCCGCTTAGCGGCATGCATCGGGTACCTGGGATGCCAAAAAATGCTCTGCACGTGCCTCTGAACACTCCCCACGAAGGCACTGGGACGGGGCTTTTATCCTTGCATGTCCGTGCTTGCCGGAATGCCTTTGCCCTCGGTCGTTCTTTGCCTTCACCACGGGCCAGTTTTTCGGCAATGACTCTTGAACGACCTCAATTGTGCAGGACTGCACTGGAGAAGTCCACCCGTGACATCCCGTGACGTTTGGAATGCTGAGGGATGAGCAGACAAGGAAACTTTGCACGGCAAGTGCCTAGCAGGCAAAAACTGCATGCAAAGGAAGGGATCAGAGGACGCGCTACAGCAGGTATTTGGTCATGTCAGCCCTACTCCCTGGTCAGCGCAGGTCCCATGCACTCTGCTTGCCGATGCCGACTTATGTGCGATGTTTGTTGTGTCTTTTCCCGCTGGGATGTTGCAATCGTGGCACTGTCACAATGCCGAGTTGCGGCTGCTGAGTTCCTAAGACTGCTTCCTGCCACGCATCGCTGACCAAGTACGTGTCCTGTCCAGAGCTGCCACTGACTTGAGAATCTTGAGAGCAATCAGAGCAGAGAAGCATCGTGGCTGTCCTGAGAATCCTCGAGAAGTTGCGGCAGCGGAACCGAAACTTCCTTCCACACAGAGTGCTCGCAGTCGTCAGGTCGCCGGCATTATGCAATCAAAGCCCAGGAGCTCCGATCGTCTGATCCATCGGTCCGACGCTCTTGTCGTAGAGTGTCACACGGACAGTTGTGGTGGCAACATCCCACCTGGCTGAAGCAAGTTCGGTGAAGCTCCAAAGAACCACCATTCGGACCGTGCATGTGCATGATGCTTACGCAGGTAATTTCACATCATCATCGCAGGCGAGATGCTGATCTGGAGGCACATTTTGAGCTGCAGCCAGCTTGACACTCTTCCGATCTTAGTAACAGGCTAGCGAGTCTCTGGCGTGCTGGTGAGGCTCCCAAGACGAGACCGAAGAGCCTACACGACAAGAGTAGAAACAGAAACTCGTTTTGGGCCGATGCGTTTGCGCCACGAGCACCTGCAGCGAAAGAGAAGACTCCAGGCGAATGCTCGAAGCAGCATGGTCTCAAACCCTCGACCGCACATTGAGCCAAGCTTCCCCTGCTGTTGTGCCAGCTGCATGTCGCGAGCACATGGCAAGCTCAACGTTTGGTTCCAGACCTTGTGAGCTCATCTTCTGGCATGTGGATGTGGGCACACTGCGCTTCATTAGCTTCGGCTGAAGGCCTGTTGGGTGCATCGGCTGGGCTATTTTCAAGGTCGAGTTCAGAGCTATCACCGTTCCTCTGTCCTCAACAGAACTATAGTTAAAACGGGCAAATAGACCCAACCAGTGTCTACGGCTGCACAACCGCCTCGTGCCGTTACGATGCCGACTTGCAAGGAGAAAGCCGCAGCCGAGCTTCTGGGTTTCTGGTCTTCGTGGCCATGTGAGACCTGAAAGGCTGAGGCGGCTCTGAAGGGCTTGAGAGCTCGCTGCGGGCAAGGCCTGGCCGCTGCCAAAGTCTCTCCATCTCCGTCCAAGACCTCGACCAGGACCACAGGATCGCAGAAGCCTCGAGCTGTCATCCCCATCGGGAGCAGGGTGCTCTTTCAATCCATGCCACAAGGCCGGCTTCAGCTCAGTGCGACCATGGTGCCATCTGGGTACTTGGCTTGCATTGCTCCCCGCGACACGCCTCGATTCAAGGCTCAAGGCAAAGAGAAACTCCTTCTGCCTTTAAATGTTGTCGTCCGAGAGGCCGTATGCAGTCGCCCCCACCGCCAATCCAACTACAGCCCCAGGCCCTCCGCAAAAAGCGCCAGCAGCTGCTGCTGGAGCCAGGATGGTCGCGGAAGCGCGAGGGCCAGTTGAACGCCTCCCTGGGAAGAACGAAAGGGTAAGAGACGCTGACTCCCGTCATGGCCAACAGTTAAGGCCGCAACTTCTGCAAAGCTCTGGGACGTTGACTGCCTCGGCCAGCACGTGGTGTAGAACTCATTGTTCTCATTTCACGATATCGCTAGCCCCCTTCGCAGATTGCGGCTAGGAGGCGCCCTCGAGCACCTGAGACCACGTTGTACCATGTTGCAGTGCTATCCGATGGCACCCTGCGAACCGCGTCAGTGAGTGGTGACGTAGAGTTGTGCATCCAAGCTTCAATTCCAAAGGCATGAGGGAACGGCTTGGAGTCCTGAGCTTGGAGGGCAGGCCTTGAAAAGCTTGCGAACGCATTAAACAAGACTTCTGGGAGCTTTGGGGCTGTGATGCCGGTGGGCTTATGGAGTGACGTGTCTTGCTTTCAGCCAACACGCCTGCTGCAACAGCTTCCGCAGCTGGTTGAATTCCTTGGTCCCACGTAGCTCCCACGGAATAGCCTCGACCTCCTTGACGACCGCCGGACCTGCAATTGCAACCACACGTTGCGGCGAGGATGATTCAATTCAGACCGCCCTTCAGGAACTACGTCGACCTTGATACTTGGTACCATCGATGCTGGTCGCACAAGCAGAAATCAGACATAACACGCCTAGTCTTAGTTCATCTTACTTCAAGCCGGAGGGGCCACCATTGTGTGCGACATGCAGAGAGCTTTGCTGCAATTCAACGAGAAGCATCTGGAACTGCTGCATCACCTAGCTGCTTCTGTGTGCGCGACTAAAGCTACGGCCAGTTTGTGCATGCAAACTCTCATCAAGCATGAGCGTCAGCCGTGAGAGACGCAAAGAGAGGCAACTTGAAGCTCAAGTCACGCAAGCATCGCAGACAGTGCTGCAGTGGTACTCGCAAGACCACCGCGCAGTCTGGCTGGCCTCGTCTTGCTGGCGTGCCAGGCACTCAAAGAGTGAGGCAGCAAGGCGTGTGATCTACAATACTCAAAGGCAGCGGATCTTGCAGAGGCCTGCGCCTCAAGACAAGATCAACCGCTTCATGGAATCATCACCCCCCCAATTCCTGTTGAGAGCTTCGCAATCCAGCTTGCGAATCTTCTATGTGCGTGCTGCTTGTCTCACGGCCGACGAACAGGTATGACATATGATCATTATATGGTGTACAACTAAATCAGACGGGCGGCAATGCTCCCACCGCAAACGCTGCATACCTTATGTAGGTCCACATTCTTCAACAGACTCGACTGTTCGCATTTTGCCGAGTCCAATCAATACCATGAATGATTCTGCAAAGCAGCCGTGTGCAAGAACGGGTTCCATCGTTTATCGCTCTCCTGCGTGACAGGCCATAGGCGGGCCGTGGGAACCGACCGAAATAGCAATATTCAACAGTCATGACCGCGTGTTTCGACGCAGCTCTCGCAGCTCTGGAGCACTCAGGCACTAATCCAGCGTCCAAGTCGGCCTTCAGCTCTTTGACGGCATGCCCCTTCTTGCACCGCAGCAGTAGCCTTTGGATTCTGAAAAACAGCTTCAAAAGCCCCAAGATCGACTCAGAGCCATGTAGGCCAGTGTTTGAGCTGACATTGCAGCGAGCTACCATGCAATGTGAGGCCCTCGTGTGCAACCAGGCAGCTCCGCGGACATGGCTCAACGCATGCCGGAAGCTCTACGACATGGCTTGGTCACGTAGTCGTGGGCTGTCTAGGGGACGAAGCTTGTCTTGCAAAGCGCCGCCTAGATGTCCATCTGCACAAGTCAACCGCTGCGGCAAGGGAGCTAGCACAAGCTTCAGAACTGTGTCCAGCTGTGATGCAGTGAGGCCACACCGAGTTGTCTAGTTGAGGCCACACCGAGTTGTCTAGTTCTTATCTAGAAGGGCGGTGTCGCCGTGCGAGCCAAACAATTCCACACACGTCAACCGGAGCCCTCCGAGCAGCCAAGGAATCAAGGAAGACCACGAATGCTGATCCTCCGAAAATCCGCTTGAACAGCCCAGCTGCATCAGCTTGTGCGAACCTGAAGCTGAAAAGTGCGTGGAATGCAGAAGAAACTAATCCCTCGATCGGACTCACCTGGCGACACTCCAGCTTCAAGCACCCAAAAACTTCACTGACTTTTGCTGACAAGGGCGAAATGGTCGGACGGTAGGAAAACATGTCAGTGGGTACTCAGAAGCCGTTACGTCCCCACACCACCAGGGCAATCGACATGGAGAACATGGACAGCAGCACCACGAAGGTGATGTTGGGGTTCTCCAACGGGGACAGGTCGGCGGTGAGCATGGAGCTTGCCTCATTGAGAGGTGCCAAGCCAGTGGCTGCAGCTCCCACGACTGCTTCGGCAGCGGTATGAGTGACCTCCGTCGGCGCGACGAAGCCCGGCGCGAAGCTCAGGACATAGCACGCAGCTGCCAGCAGCAACACCGCCAACGGTGATCGATGCACCTTCGCCATGTTCACCTGCCGGTGGCAAACCATGCATAACTGCGTCAATAACATTCGCCAAAAAAGCAACATCGAACACTTGGAAGAGCACATGGAAGTAAACCCTCTGCCTCCGCGCACGCAATTCCCTGACACCCGTTCTCTTCGAGCCCACACATGCAGCTCATGCTTCAAAAAGAGATGCTGGGGAGCAACGTGCCAATCAGATTTCTAGCACTTTAAAGACTTTGATTTGCCATGATTTGCCTATCTTGCTGAGTAGCGGTGACGCGGCGCTGCACAAACGAGGTGGCAACACAAACTGCTCGTTCCCAAAAGGTATGCTCGTTCGCAACCCACAAGGGTCACAGGAGAGCTCAAACATCAAAGACAACTTGCACCGGCCGTACTGACTCCCAGAGCCATGCAAGAAGTAGGGTTTGCCTGGTGATCTCATCTCCACCCTCGCGAGTCTTTTGCTCTTCTCGGTATGCCGTCAATGGGCTTTGTAACAAGCTGGAGAAGGAATCATAACGGCAAGCTCAGAAGCCGTTGCGTCCCCACACCACCAGGGCAATCGACATGGAGAACATGGACAGCAGCACCACGAAGGTGATGTTGGGGTTCTCCAACGGGGACAGGTCGGCGGTGAGCATGGAGCTTGCCTCATTGAGAGGTGCCAAGCCAGTGGCTGCAGCTCCCACGACTGCTTCGGCAGCGGTATGAGTGACCTCCGTCGGCGCGACGAAGCCCGGCGCGAAGCTCAGGACATAGCACGCAGCGGCCAGCAGCAACACCGCCAACGGTGATCGATGCACCTTCGCCATGTTCACCTGCCGGTGGCAACGCAGTCAGCTTCATACTGGCTGCGACTCCTCAATTTCAAGCAGCATACATGTCGATGACTACGCAGAACAGACAAGGTGCAGAGCAGCTAGCTCACAGCATTTTTCCAAAGAGTCTCTTCAGCTGGAAAGTGCTGCTTCCTGCCTTTCAGCCCTGATCTGCGTGCACCGGATGTTGCCCTGGAGCCCAAAGTGCTGCTGGCAGCTGGTTTCAGCGACCTAATGTTGGCGTTCAAGCAGCCCTTCAACTATCTTCAACTGCCATCCGTTGGTCCGGCATGCCCTTGTCGGCTTCCTCTGCCTCTGCATGCAAGCATATACCCATCTGCTACATGGCAAGGCCGATGCTCACCCCATTTTGACCACTTGGATTTAGCCGCCCTGCTGTGCTTCCGCAAAGATAGCCAGCCTTGTAGGGAAGTTGCTGAACATGAGTCCGATGATTTCTCTGACTCCACAAAGAGACCATGCACATCCTCTCGAATTACTCGCCTGCAGCTGACACTGGCTTCGATAGTCCAGAATGTTTAGCAAGCCTGGTTGAAGTGCAAAAAGCTCATCTCTACTTGGGTAGCCGGTCACCGGCAGGAAGTCCTGGCAATGAAACATCGATGCTCGCCGGCTTCTGTGTGAGACGCAGTCTTCAACAGGGCTTCGCCCTTGAAGATGGGTCAGAAGACATGTAGAATGGCCACCGGCTTGCACATTGGCATGCCGTATGCTTACCATCCAAGGACTTCAGCTGAAAACGCCTACCCATCAGAAGCCTTCCAGTCTACGGCAGCAACCGCCCATCACTGATCTTGAAACTCATCACGGCCCATGCTGCTCAACTTCCTTGGCAGTAATTTGCACACGTGGTTGTTGGTATACCTGCTTGGCATGGACGACCTTTCCGTCTCATGAACCATTTGATGCATGCTACGGAATAGAATCTCACGTTCGTGGAGGTCCAGACAAACAAAACGACGGCATTCCTCGACCGGTGCTGCTCGATTTATCTTGTCTTGGGGTCCCTGCAAGGATGGCAGCGCTTGAAGCATCGGAAATCCACGAATGGCGAACCGGGAACGTTCGCCTGGCGTAATGCGCCTTCTGTTAGTCATTAGTCTGGAGACCGGAAACACGAATCTGATTGGTTAGCTCGTGCGGCTATGAAGGTTTTTGAGGCGAGAGGTCTCAGTCACACGGGCCGCACCTGGCTGTGACCGCAAATGGGCATCGTCCAAATCTCCTTGCAGGGAACACCCGAAAACAACATTTCACGCGCACGATTTTTTTTGTGTGTGTATGTGTGGGCAAGCTAAGTAGCACCCGACACAGTCAAACCGCGTTCAGACGAGCCGCGCAGCGCCCGGTCTTGCTGCGGAACTCAAAGCCGTAGCAGAATATGTTCCAATCATTGCACAACCTTATCAGTGGAGACGCTTGGGAATTCACTCACTAGCACGATGTGAAATCAGGCGAGTTGTTCCGTTATGTTGACGGTGGCGAGAGCAACACACATGCAACCGATCGTTTTCTCCTGTGCTCCATCATGCATCTGCCTTTGCTGCCGTCCTCTCATTCAGCGGCGCATTGACAAATACCTTCGCCATAGCCACGGCCGGGAGCAGCAATTTCAGACTTGCAGTGGTCCCAACCTCATGCATGGCAGCTCAATGCCCGATGATTTGAACAAATTGTTCACGATGCCACCGGCATGGACACATATAACGAAGGGACTGAGGGCATCGCCGAAAATCAGTGTTTCCAGAAGGGAATATCTATCTGCACCTGTCTACCACACTGCGCCGTGAGCGGCATGGATGCATGGCGACGCCGAGGTGCATTTGGAGTCCTCTGATTCCAGGCACACCACAGGCTCCCTTAGTTTTCTTGAAGCAGTGCTCCGTAGTGCCTCATGTCTAGAACTGCTTGCACTATCCTGCCAGGACACTTGGTATCTTTTGGAAAGTAGGCTTCGGATCCAACATGGTGATAGATCGGAAGCGGTGGAACGTGAGGAACCGGGTCCCGTGACCGTGTGATTCGCCACAGATCCACTTTCCGACCGAACATCACATCCTGATTCGGCACAGGGGTGCCTGCAAGGGTCGGTGGGGGATGGTGGCCATATGCCGCTCTCGTACTGCGGAAAGAAAGCTAGCTGCAGCTAGCTGCCAGCCGACTTCCTGTAAGGATCCTAGCTGCACCTGGCTGCATTCCAATACTGATGCCCAGGTGCAAATGCATCGTGGAAAGCTTCGTTGCCGACCCGGGGCGACTCGAAATTGTAGGACAAGCCCACGCTGTAACCTCGAAGCTGCCTCGGAGATAGTTGCCCAGGAAGGCTTGAACATGGGTGGACATGATTCTCGGCCATGCCTGCACGGTGCTCCTCTGCTAAAACTTCGGAAACTCTCTCCAGTTCCGCCCAGAAGCAGCATGTACATGCCAATGGTTGCCACGGCAGCGCCCAAGGAATGTCCCGTGAGGAGGATGGTGCCATGCTCCGTGCCTGTCATCCGGGCTACTGTATTTCAGTGGCATGACGTGAAGGAGGCATCTACCATCCGGCAGCTGTGCCTGGAATGCAGCCGTTGTCAATGAGAACTCGCCTGTCTTAGATATCTACGCACGAAAGCTCTGCATGGCATGGGTTATGCTGCTGACGGACATCTCGCATGGCATTAAGGCGACAGGCGGCAAGCCTCCAGATGAAATCGTACTGATCGTACTACTCCGAAAAACTCTGCAACCAGGCATCCCAAGCTTCGCTTCTACACCGGACCACACTCGCCAGAAGCCATCGAATACTTGACATCCATCGCACTCCTGTTCGAGTGGACCCAGTTTTTCAGGATCTGGTGATCTGGTGACTTTCGCTTTCGTTTCGTCTTTTCAGGATGGCTCTCACGCGCGTGCAGGGAAAACCAACGACATCTGGCCACCCTGACGTCACAACCAAGCCAGTGACGCGAGCAGGTCCTGCACTGGAAGCTCGTCACTCCAAAAGAAGGCATCGTGCAAGGCGTTCGTAAACGTCTTGGAGCCTCGCGTGTTGGGGGCAAACACCTTACATGAACTCTGTCCATGTCGACTACCAGCATGCAAGAGATGGCGCAAAACACCATAAAGGCCTCTGATTGCCAGGATGCAGCCGAACTCACGCTTAGTGGTTGGCTGCGGCACATTTCGTGCCGGTGTGGTGCATACGTGGTGGGAAGAGTTGGCCTCACCAAGAAAAGCTCATTAGTCGTGAACACAGCTAAGTCTTCCTCCATCAACATCTACCTGCTCGTGAGCAAGCCAAGCCCCTGGCTGCAGCCCCACGGCATTCAAGCGGATCCTTGTCATAGCCACTCCTGATTAAACACTACGCTCGGGAGGCTTCATACCCGAGGGGGGCCCTCCCCTCCGCCCAACAAAAACTCGAAAAGCTTATATTAACTGCATGATTATAGGGGGTGTTGTTGTCTCACTGTCACTTCTCAGGGATTTTGCTCTTGCTCCTGCGCTGGCTTTAACATTTGCTCCTGCCCTTGCTACCTGTAGCTACTGTTCCTGCTTTTGCTCCTGCTCCTGCTCCTGCTCTTGCTTTTGCTCTAGCTCTTCCTCCTTCTCTTGCTCCTGCTCTTGTTCGTGTTCCTGCTCTTTCTCCTGAACCCCCCTAATGCAAATTAAGTTTAACGGCGGTGATTTTTATTGCCTCCCGCCTGGCTAGACAAACCTGAATGCGGGGATGTTGTCAAGGTCGTTTTTCGAAAAGTGGTTTTATTCTTCTGGGGGAATTAAATTTGGGAAGGGACAAATCGTCACCAAGATGCCTACAGCAAGCATTTCCCGCACCACACCAGTCGCAGAAACCGCCAGCCTTCACACTGCGCAAGGCACACGCCCTTGCACTCCTACGCTTTTGCGCACCAGCGCCTTGCCGCAGTACAGCCAACAATCCTCACCCCCGTGCAGGACGGGTTTCCTGTTGACCTTGTCGTGACTCGAGGCAAATCGCAGGCCTATCTTTTGTCATGCAGACATCTGTAGCTTTTCGCAAAAGGAGTGCATGTGAGCGCTTACTTGACTGGTGTGGTTTCAGATCCAAGGTCAACCTCATTGGCGTTCAAGCAACCGGTTCTGCCACGGCCACACACTCCTCGGAGGCAGAAACAAGTTTTAGCTCCACTGCGTAGTACGAGATCCCGCTTCTCCCCTGCAAGCCAGTATCGTGGTACTCAGAACCGATGAACCCGGTCGCGTTGGCGCATTCTGCTGGGTCTCCGGCCTCGCCGCAACAAAGTGTAACTAGATATTATATGCTTCTGAGCTGGTGAACACTGATTCGCAGTCTTGGAATTAATTGTAATTCGGGCATGGCCTGCTTATAATTGTGTGAATTTATAAGCCCTGAATCTAATCTCTCTGCCTGCCTCATCTTTCCTGCAGCATGCATTTCCCACGCCGCACCAAGCACAGAAGCCGCCAATCTGACCACAATGAGTGTAACAATCCTCCCACGTTGCGTGCGTCGCACGCGGATTGAGAATTTGCCATGCCAGTGCTTTTACAGTTGTGTCCTGGCCGCCGTGCTTCAGAGGTTCCTTGGCCCTCGCAGGTGGCCACAGCCACTCTGCTTCGGGCTTCTCTGGCATCCATTCCGCACGCGACACAAACACGAAGGTGGAATCCGCCTCGCCCAATTCTGCCTGGCAAGGCTTGCCGCAGCTTAGGGGAACTCTGCTAAAATTCAATCAGATCTGTCTTTAGAGCTTTTTGAGCAGCAGCTCCTGGCCTGCCGTACCAGCCGCCGAGTGCCCAAGGTTAGTGAAAAACCGACATCATGGCAGGCCTCTCACATCAAGTTTAGACCACGGCGTGCCATGCGAATCCAAGTGCCCGACCTGCCTTGCAAGTCCAGTTGCGTAGCTCTTCGTCAGCCCCGCCTACTTGACAGGAGAGTTGCTGGTGCCCCCTGGTAAACAGGGTGATCCCAACGAGTTTGGCAAAACCATCGGAAGCAGGAGCCAAGTCGCAAAACGCTGCTTGGCTGACAGTTGCGAAAGCTTTTGCCACAGGCAAGCTGAACTGCTGTTTCGCAGGAACCTGCACAGCATGTGTAATTTTATCCGGCACTTCATGAGGACGAAGATTGTCGAAAGGGGTCGGCGAGCCTCGGCCGTTGTAAGAGGCCCTCGCTGCAGTCGAAACTCGCGTTGCTGCAACAGCTGTACACGAAGGGACTCCGTCTCCGACCTGAGATTATACAGCACGGCAGGTGGCATTCCCATTCTAGGCGGCTCTCAGCGTCTCGCTCCTCCTTCCGTTCAACCTCTTCCGCACAATTCGCCTGCTCCTCCTCGGCCAAGCACCTTTGCGTCATCAAGGGCATAACCGGACTTGCAGGTGCACCTACGAAACATGCGGTGCACCCATTCTTCACAAGTAAGGTGGGCACAACCAGATCAGAAGAAGCGCCGCTGTCCAGCGTCTCATTTTGATGCAAATGCAGAGGCGCTGTCCATCAGCATTTTCCGTGCCAAGCGCCGAAATGGGGTTTCTTCGGCAAATGGCCCGTTCTTTAGAGCCGAAACCACAAGAGTGCCAGAGTCTCACGATCGCCAGCTCTCTATAGCCCAGGCCCACTTTTAGAATGCACAGTTAATTAGAGTCGCTTCTTTCCGAGTCTGAGGTCGGAACATGGAGCATTGCCGCAAGGATTGCCCATGCACGACTCTCCTAGGCCCAAATGTTTTTTTGGACATCCCCATAGAGATCCATAGAGAGATGGCTCGGTCCGGTCTCATGCAACTTGGAAAGCCCAGACACACCTTCCCTTGGCCATCGAAGGTCGTATCAGCCTGGAAAGGGAAAGCTGACCGCCTAGCCAATTACTTTGCTTGACAAAAACTGCCTGCGGCCTGCCTCGTTGAGTCGACACACGGTGTGCCAGCCTCGAGCCAGTCGCCGGCATGGTAAGCTCTGCGCTTGAACGAACCAGACAGTCAAGCGTCGTCACGAAGTTAGGACAGAAGCAAGATACCAGCCAACAAAAACCGAGCCAATGAGTCAAGGTGCCCAGAGACATGAAGTCTCCCTGGATTGAAGAGGAGGTGCTTTCCAGGGCTTCCTGAGATCACATCATTTGACGATGCCAAAGGGTGCAAAACTCGGTGAAAGAGCTTTTTGCCAGCAGGCCGTTGGCGACACTTCCGCAAGTCCCACGGTTGTCACGTCCCTGACCAGCGACATCTTCAACTCCTGGCATTACAGGCACTGTCAAGACAGCTTACAACAAAGTGACAGGACGCAGCGGAAAAGCTGAATATTGACATCTATCGAATCGGCCTTGTCGATCTGTTCGAGTGTGGAGTTGTCACCCAGCTTCTTCACGTCAGAGATCGACATGCCCTCTGCAGTCAGCTGAGTATGTCCAAGCACCACAGCAAACTGATTAGCTTGCAGTTCGACGGTGGTCGAATATGGAAATCTTGGTGCCTTGATGTCCACGACGGCTTCGACGTCGTTGCCAGGATCCTTGATGAGGACCTCAGCCGTCTTGCTACACATCCCGCTTATTCTGCGTACCTTAGTCGGAAACCAGACAGCAAATGCGGGGTTTACCGCTTCTGAATTATGATACACATTCCGCAGTCCAAGTGCATTTGGTACCACGTGATGGATGCCAGGTCGGTACTGCCTGGGAGCATCTTCTTCTGCAAACTGCCATCACAGCTACATGCATGTGCACGTCCAGCCCGGCCTGATCACCACTCTGGGTGGCGGAGCTTTCTCCGGGATCTCCAACACCTTGGCTACAGCCTCTGCAACTTTGCTCTGGTACCTGGCTGTGGCCGCCACGGAGACTATCTGAGTGCTGCATGTTGCTTGAGGAATGTCACATGTGGTTCTCACGGTCGCTACCTTTAGTTTTTGTTTGTGAATTGACCTGCCCCTCAAATGTCAGCATCGCTTTGAATGCATCTTGATTCATTAGATGCGGATGCCGGGGTTCTTCGATTCTAGCTGCAAGCGCGCAATATTCCAGGGGCACGTCTCCAAAATGAAGCTGAAGGGATGATTGCTGGAACGCTTCTTGAACTTGAACCTGCAACAAGCACCGAAATTTACAAGCAGAAAACTCTCAGCCCAGACATGCCTCGTCCTCAGCAGTGCAGTGACCTCGGTCTGCTAGAATGCACTTCTGTAAAATTCCATATTAAGTCTTCTCAACGGCAGGCCTCCGCCTGCAGATCTTCTTCGCCTTCTTTCCCAAAAGAGACGTTGTACTTCTGCATATACTGGACCTTGCATGACTTTCAAGCCTGTGGTCTGTCATGAGGCGCAATGCTCTGCTTCTGCACAGGTGTCTGTCATCGGCATTTGTGCAAGGTGCATGCCTGAGTGAGCGCCGTCTTTGCAGCACAGGTTTTGGCACAGTTGGAATACCTGCCCAACGCAACACCGAAAGCATCAATCCGCAGTCAAAGCCCCCGTTGCAAACTCAGAAGGAGCTGGCGCACAAAAAGTGCCAAAAGTTGCCCTTGTGCTGACGGCATGTGCGCTTGCATCCTGTGCAACTGCCAGAGTCCAACAGGCATCACCAAGCGAAATGCAAACCTGGCATTCTGTCCCAACCTTCCAGAGGCGGCTCCGAGGCAGGAACTTTCTTTCCTGCATCACAACCCGGAAAGCCTAACAGCCGCCTACAAGGCTTCTGAACTTGTCTGAACTGCTATCACAGAGCGCTATCGCTCAAGTTTCGCAAAGTCATCGATGGCATGGCCCGCCTGCCGCGGGATGCTTTCCTTGGCATAGAGACTCGTCGGAACGTCGCCAGTCATGTGTTGTGCTGCGTTACTGGCAGACCGGCGTCTCTCGCAGCTGGCCCTGCAATCGCCGAACTCCATGGCTGCCATGAAGCCAACCGAAGGGCAGCGCTCCAAGCACTGCCTTGGACCGCCATTGCAACCATCAAAACGCTCCAAACACTTTGCCTCCAAGCGGCTCTAGGCTTGTGAGGCCGTCAGGCTCCTGAAGGAAGGTTAGGCTGACAAACGCTTCGCTGAACCAAGGGCGTGTTGCTGGGAACTCAGAAGTTGGGGAAAGCAGCCACGCAGCCCTCAGGCCAACAAGCCCATAAGTTAGATCTATCTAAAGATAGATAGACAGATAGATGGATCTATGGACAGATGGATGTAGATGGGCAGATGGATACATAGAGTAGACAGATAGATAGGTAGACAGATAGCTAGCTAGATGGATGGATGGATAGATGAATGGATAGGTCGGATAGAACAGAGAGGACGGCTAGATTGCCGTGACAGATGGTTAGACAGATTAGAAGCGTAGATAAACAGATAGCTAAATAGGCAGGTAAAATGGATAGATGGATCAAACAATCGGAAAGACTCGACAGAGTATACACCCAAAACGAATGCAGAGCTGTGACGCATCGGCTGCAGACTCAGACAACCAAGTCGTGCAGGCAGGTCCCAACCTTCGTGATAGCATGGCTCCATTGAGCCAGGGACGAGTAGCGGACAAAATCATGAAAACTTCTCAGTGGCACACACAGAATAGCAGCACCAACATGTTGAGTTCTTGCTGTTGCCAACCTGCTTAGCCTGTCGTTCTAAACTTGCTTTCAAAGGTCTAGGAGTCTAGCCTGCAATCTAACAAAGTCTTTGCGAGCGTGATGGCACGAACAGGGCGGGACAAAACTGTTTAGTATTCATTAGTTTGCTACATGTCTGCGGACCAGCCCAAGCCAAGGCCCTCTTCAGGCCAGGGACTGAGGAAGACACGCGCACACAACACACGATCCTGTCTGCACACATCACTTGTTCAAACGCTTTCACCTGCTTCTTAGGGCGCCTTCGTCAAAACTGACACCCGAGACTCCGGCAGCTCCGTGCCAAGTTGCACATGGAAGACTTGCAACAACTTAGTGCGCCTTTGTCTACAAACTACAAACGCGTACACAGGTTCTCTGCCACTTGCTCTTCTCTTCTAGCTCGCTCCTACATCGAGAACTGAAAGGACTCGGCGGTTACATGTCGCCACGGTCCTCTGCGAGTCGGCGTGCAGCGGGGCACTTTGGCGTGCAGGTCATATCTTGGTTGAAGTCCTGCAACCTTGTCAAGGGCTCAAGCATAGGCGTGGGGCTGCTGGCGCTGCTAGGAGCACAAACTTCGAAAGTTGGAAGGAAACACCCTCCGAGTCTCGGAGCCTGTGTCACTGCAAGTGCTCAATTGCCTCGCGATGCTTAGGCCCCCCGCTGCTTTGACGGAACGACCAGCGTCGAAAACCGATCCTCTGGCGTGACTTTGACCACATGCACCACGATTTTCCAACGAGTCGCATGCCCTGCCGGCCTTCGTGAAGTTGTGTCTAGACAGGAGCAGCAGCGCTGTCGCCATCAAAAGCGAGGCCTGCAAGCTGAATACATACCCAATCCTTACAAGCCAGGCAATATGATGCCTTGTCTGACTCATGGGTTTCGGATGTAAGGCACCAGAAAAGCCCTGTAGAGGCTGCTTTTGCATTCTTAACCGCACTCTGTGCGTAAGATCGCTAGAACTAGAAGAAGCTACCAGTGGTAGACAGCGAAAAGAACGCGTTGGATCTGGTAAGGCACTCTGTGGACTTGGGATGACCTGGGCGGAAGAACACAACGACCCTCGTCAAATGTGGGCAAGCACAAACTGATCGACAACACTGCGCACGGAAACCAGGCTGAGGACCGACACACAAGGACACTGAGACAAGGGCTAGCAGCGCACCCGTGGTCATCAGGTATGGTCGTCGACCTTTGGTCTGCAGGTGCTGTTCGCACGTGCAATCCGCGAGCATTAAACATTATAATTGGACAGCTCAAGTCAATGACTCTTTGCTTGCCCAATACTGATGGTGATTCTGCTACTGATACTACTTACGACCCTAATAATAACAACAACAACAACTACTACTACTACTACTACTACTACTCCTACTACTCCTACTACTACTACTACTACTACTACTTCTTCTTCTTACTACTTACTACTTACTACTTACTACTTACTGCTTACTACTTACTACTTACTACTTACTACTTACTACTTACTACTTACTACTTACTACTTACTACTTACTACGTACTACTTACTACTTACCACTACTACTACTACTACTACT